CTAAGTTCTCGTTGTGCCCATTACCAGTCGTGGAATTAGGCTGGGAAAAGCTAAGACCCAATCAGAGAAGTAATGCAGGAATACCTGTTTATTTGTGTGACCTCCTAACAGCAGAGACGACCTCCTGTCTCATCTACTCAGCGCCTACCTGAGCTAGAAAAGACAGGAAAGGAGGAAGGAAGGAGGGAGGGAGAGACCCAGAGGTAAACAGACATTCTTGTGCCCATTAAAGAACGTGCCCAGCCCTCAGCAGAATCGAAACAGTGACAGGTCTATCTCCCACACGCTCCTTCCGTCTCCCATTCATTGACTAATCTCTGGCCAGGGATTCCCCACATGGAAAGTGCCTCCTCTCTACCAATGGTCCCTCCTTCTCCCCAACACAAGTCCAGAAAATTTGACTTCCTGGCTCAGCTCCTTATTAAAACTTGTCATGTGGCCTTTGACAAATACCTCTCTCAGAGCCTTGCTTGCCTTGTTGGTAAAAATGAGAATAATTCTACTTGTCTACCATACAAAATGATTGTGAAGCACAAGTAAAGTAATACAGGGAAAATTGTAGGGGTGGGGACACAGCTGAGAAGCAGGGAGACCAGGCTAGGCCCTCAAATTCTTATCTCCTGCCCACTCGTGCGTGGTTCTCCGCTGAGGCCTGAGATGATGATGGAAGCTCCCTTCCTGAGTCCCAAGATACAACATCTTGGCTTCTCCCTGTCTTCTCACGCGACAAGGACAGAACTTTGGAAGGTTCGGCTCTTGGTTCAAGGAGGCTGACCTATAAAGGTGGAACACTAACTCTTTTAAAGAAGGATGAAATGCAGAGAAAGAGCCAGAGTGAGAAGGTGTGCTGGGGGGCCTGGAGCAGGGGGTGACAGAGGTGATGTCTGAGGAGAGAGAGGCAGTGCGACAGGAGGGAGAGTTGGAGGAGGGTGTCCGGAGGACAGTGTTAAGCAAAGTCAGACTTCTGCCCAATTCTGGGCCTGGGACAGTTGTGTGTGCGTCATGCCCTCTGAAATTGGAGTTGAGCAAGCAAGCCTCCCACTGTGGGAGAACCTGTAAGAAGGAGAGAAGTAAAGCTGACCTAAAGCCCTGACTATGTGAGCTGTGGTTGAAAATACATTTCACATCATAAGCTGGCACACAACTACACGTGTGACGACACAGGCACTGAAATAGAATGTTCACAAAATAACACCTACCTTTCCTGTGCATTATGAGCTCTGATATTTTCTGCTCTTTCTGTTTCCTTCCTTCCTTCTTCCCTCCCTCCCTACCTCCCTGCCTTCCCTTCCTGCCTGCCAGCCTGTCTTCCTTCCTTATTTCTGCGTGACCAGCAAAGTTGATTTCAAGACCCACTACTGTGCTTCCACCTGCAGTTGGTGAAGCACAAGTGACCGTTGAATGGGAGCCCTGGGTCTCCTGGGAGAATCCTAGGAAACACTTCAAGATAGACTGAGACACCTCATTCTGCTTCCGCTCTCCCTTCATAATTATAAAGTTTCTTCTCCTTCCTCCTCCTCCATCTCCTCGAACTCCTCCTCCATCTTCTCTTCCTCCATCTCCCCCTCCATCTCCTCCATCTCCTCCTCCTCCATCTCCTCCATCTCCCCCTCCATCTCCTCCATCTCCCCCTCCATCTCCTCCATCTCCCCCTCCATCTCCTCCATCTCCCCCTCCATCTCCTCCATCTCCTCCATCTCCTCCTCTTTCTCTTCCATTTCCTCCTCTCCTTCCTCCATCTCCTTCTCCTCTTTCTCCTCCTCTTCCTCCTTCTTTTCCATCTCCTCCTCCTCCTCCATCTCCCCCTTCATTTCTTCCTCCATCTTCTCCTCCTCCTGCTTTTTAATTAAAAAAAAAATTACAAGAATAATCAAATTGATTTCACAAACTTTTAACACCACAGGAATCACCCAGGGGACTGTTGTTCCTGCCCCCAGGCCTCTATCCTAAAGATTCTGATGGGTGAAGTCTACGGTGGGCCTGGTGATCTGTGTTTGTAACAGGTGCACCCTTGTAATCACAATGGTCAGGCTGGTCAGGGATTCCCTAACCAGGGCCAACTCCCTTATCTTGCTGGTGAGGAATCAGGGCCTAGGAAGGGCAAATGTGTTGCTTGAAGTCACAGAACAGGCACTGCCCTTGGGGCAGGACGTTGCAGTCATACTTGCGACAAGGACCTGCCCTCTGTGCCTTCTAACATCACCAGTGGAGGCCTTCCATTGAGAAGTCAAAGACTGGTCCCCATCAAGCTATGGATGCAACTGAGCTGGAACCCAGGTCATGGCAGGATTCCACCTTGCTGCCATGACCTGACTTCCTGTTGGCGGATTCAGCCCCACTTCTGGGGCCAGTTCATCCCTAAAACCAGGTGAAGGAGAGGGAACTATGTCGACCAGCTGCCCAGCCCCCTCCACCTCTCTCCCTGGTGCTAAGTGAGGCCTGAGGTTTGTGGGGAGGACGAGAAATGAGTCACCTCCGGCCACTCACTGTCACTTGGTCCTCTGGGGGCGTGGAGGTGGGGACAACTTTGAAGGTTTGCACATGGAGGTAGTAACCACTTCCTTGCCCTGTCTACCAGCGCTGCCACCCTGTCCACTTGCCCCCCAGCAGTGGTCCCTGCTGCCTTGAAAGGTGTTATCTGAGGCCCACTGAAGCAGCAGGTGCCTGGGAGCCCAAGTTTTGCTACAAACCGTGCTACCAGGCCCTGCTCTGTTCTCTCACCTCTTTGCTGCTCCTCTGTTGGGGCCTGTGGTTTGGCATTTCCTTCCTTAGCCAGTTAGAGCCCCAGCAGCCTCCAGCCTGGCTGCTAAAGATACTGGTGAGAAGAGACACCGCAGAGAGCAGGAGGTCCTTTCGGATCAAAGTGGCTTTGTGAGCTGGTCAGAGCCCAGCCATGCTCTGTGGGACGGGGGCGTTGAGGTGCTGCCCAGCACCACCTCTTCAAGGCACTGCTGAAATGTCACCTCCCCACTGAGGCCTGTTCATTTTCAACTGCAACTGCACCGCACCCATGCGCTCCCACACCCCCTTACCCAGCCCCCACCACCATTCGCATGTATGTATACACAGTTCTCACCCAGAATTTCACTTCCTTAAACGTTCATTGTTTATTGTCTCTCTCTCTCCACTAGTGTATAGGCTCTTAGAGAGCAGGGACCTTTTTTTGGTTTTGTTCACCGACACACCTTGAGTAGCCAGCAGTTCCTGGCGCTTAGAAGGCCCTTAATGTCTATGGTTGAATGAAGGTGTGACTGAGTGGGGTTGGCTGCTGCAGCCACTTGCCTGACCTGGCCAGGATGCAGGACACCAACAGCTGCCTTGGCGGTGCTGTAGGAGCCCTTCCGTCTCCAATGTCAGAGGAGGGAGGAGAGGGACTCCCATCGGCTTCTCAAAACAATGGCTGGAAGGAATCAAAAAGAACCATGTCACAAGCGTTCTGGTGGTGTGATCAGGAGGCCACTGGGAAGTCCCCACCCCTGCTTTACAGCATCTCGCCCTCTGGGCCATCAGCGAAGTGTGAAAGTCCAATAATGACATTATGATGCAGGATTAAACATTGCCCCCTCTCCTCTGTCCTCTTAAGTCCCCAGCGCGTTTATCAAAGTTCATTTATCCCGTCATTCTAGTGAGGTAGGAGGGCTCCGAGCAGCAGTTCCTTGGGAGTGTGGCGAACTGAGGGCATTGGCGGCTGGGGGAGTGAGGAGGGAAGCAAGAAGTCGTGGGTGCTAAGGACTACCTTTGCTAACTTAGCAAGTTTGTGTTAGGTCAAACTTGTTACCTTGAGATGGCCACTTAACAGAAGGAATGCAGATCCTGGGTCATCCACTGATGGGCATGGGCTCAATAGAGTCCACATCCAGGGAGCTTGCAGCACAAAGGGAATTAACAGAAGGGTGTGGTGTGTTGAAAGTGTGCTGCCCTGGAAATTAGGGAGCCTGGCTTCTGGGGCCGGGCTGTGCTGTGGGGAGAGGGGTGGCCTTCATCACTAACCCTCTCTGTGGGCCAGTCCTTTCCTTTATCTGGGCTTCTGTGGCCTCATCTATAAAATGACATTAGACTAGATCATCTCTGAGGCTCCTCCCAGCTGCCCCAAATCTCTAGGAAACACCCAGTCTGTTTACTAATGAGGGCTCCCTTGGTCTCAGCTATGGGTGCTAAGGGAGGCTGGAGTCTTGTGTCCTGGAGATTCGAGAGAACCCACAGAATGGATGCTTAGTGCTCGGGTGTGCTAGGGGGCAGTCCTGCTCTCCCTGTCCTGGGGTTTGCTACTTCACTGAACCTGGGGACTAAGAGCATCTCCAAGTGTCCTGGTCAAGGCTGGCTTCAGGGCATGAGTGATTCAGGGACTCTCCCCCTCTGCAGTCTGTGCTTGACTGGGAATGCTTCTCCAAGTTTTTATAAGAGCCCACATCACCAAGGAGAAGGCAGGGAGGGGAGAACGAAAGGAGACAACAGGCCAGAGAACAGCCCATTGGAGCTCTTGTCAGGAGTTATGCAACAAGCGGCTGATTCCTCCAGGTCTCAGAGATGCTTTCAGGGTTCCTGGAAGCCAGACATCACCACCAGGATGCTAAACTGAGAGTCAGGGGCCCTCAGCCCCAGGAACACTAATGCAGCAAAATACACAGCAGTCGTATCCAGGTCACAAGGCTGCAGAATTTCAGACAAGGGGGAGCCAGGCGTGAGTTGACAAGTCTTGATGGAGGGAGCCAAGTTAGACTTTGAAGGCTGAGCTGGACATAGATCAGCAAAGAGGAGAGAGGGCTTCCTGGGCAGGAGCAGGGACTGGCAGGGGGATGAAGGTGACAAGTTCCAGGAGGAAGTTAGGAGCAGAGGCCCCACAGAGGGGACTGGCTGGAGGCCAGAGGAGGAGAAGGCTGGCCGAGGTGGGTCCAGGTACCCCAGGTCACACAGATCAGGGAACTTCAGGGCCCAGTGGGAAGGTTGGGGTTGGAGAGAGATGATCGTTTTGTCACCTCATCTGTCTTTTTGTCTTGTAGGATTCTCAGTAAGTTAAGTCAAGAAATCAACAAGAACGAAGAGAGGAGGAGCATTTTCACACGCAAGTGAGTGGGGCCTGGTGTGGCTGTAATGAAATGCAGAGTTTTCAAGCACAGGACTGTTTTTATTTTATTTTATTTTTCTTTTTTTTGAGGAAGATAGTCCTGAGCTAACATCTGTGCTCATCTTCCTCTATTTTATGTGGGACATCTGCCACAGCGTGGCTTGACAAGCTAGCTGTGTATGGGTCTGCACCCAGGATCTGAACTGACGAACCCCAGGCTGCTGAAGTAGAACGTGCGAACTTAACCGCTGCCCCACCAGGCCAGCCCCGGCACGGGACTGTTTTTGCCCCGGTTTTTGATCTTCAACCCTCTTTCAGTCCTGGGGTCTTGAAGCTGGTGCCAAGGAGGAGAGGGGCCTCCTTTTCCCAGCTCTGCATTCTGCCCCTGGGTCTGGACGCCAGTGGAGCTCCCCCCTGAGAGTCAGGCGGTCACAAGCTCCAGTCACTCCACCAATGTGGCTTTGGTGGTTTCCAGAATTTTCGGGCAGCCTGGCTTGAGTTGCCGAGCAACAGTGACACAAGCCCTAGGTGGTGAGACGCAGCCTCGCAGGGGGGCTCCTCCTGCAGGGCTGGATTGAGGAATGAGGGAGAAGCCCTGAAACCAGGAGGGCTGCTCATGCCGTGCTGTTTGCCTTTGCAGACCCCAAGTCCAGCGGTTTCCTGAAGAGACAGGTAAGGCGTCAGCGGTGAGAGGGACGGCTTTGGGAGGCGACAGGTACTTGGGTTCTTCTGTCTGCCGGTTCCTAGGGCTCCTTGGGTGTCATGCTGGTGACCTTATTCATTTGCCTGCCAGCCAATTCTTACCCAGAAAAGGGTTTGGATCCTGCCTGAGGGGAGGAGAGATGTCACTATGCAGGACACCTGGCTCATGGCCCCAGCTTAGCTGGGACCTTCTGCCAAGACACAATGAGGAGCTCCGGGGGCAGTGGGGAAGGACCCAGGCTTTGACTGAGCCCCTGGGTGGAGCCAGCCTCCTACTTCTGAATCTTTAGTTTCTCAGCATTTAAATTGCACATAGTGTTAAAATGCAGATTCCTGGGCCCCTCCCAGTCCTGCTGAATCAGAAGCTCTGGGGCAGGACCCCAGGTATCTGTGTATTTTAAAGCACTGTCAGGGGACTTTATGCACGCAAACGCAGAGAGCCACTGCCACCCTCTGGTAGACTGAGCCCCTCAGGTGTAAATCCTAGAGTGGATACTAAATTGTGAACCACAAGTATGTGGAAGGTAGGATGGAGGCCCGGGATGGGGCGGTGGTGTGGGAGGGCATCAGATGGGGAGCTGCTTTGACCTTCCTTCTAGTGGCTTCTTTTGCTACTGCTGATGGCGTTTTCTTCTTCCACAGAGAGCCATGAAGAAGACAATGGGGGCTGGTCGTCCTTTGTGAGTATGGTGTGGGCTGTTCTTCCATCTTTACAGCAGTTTCCAGATCACCTTTGTAATAAGGGACCAGCATAAGGCCAGAAGGAACAAGGCCTCTAACAAGATGCCAGTATACCCACCCAGGGGCAGAAAATGTGTTCTGTCAAGGCCAAGAGTAAATATTTTCAGCTTTGCGACCCACATAATCTGTCTCATCTTCGCACCTCTGGTATCGTAGCGCAAAATCAGCTGTGGGTGACACCTGAATGACGGGTGTGTGGCTGTGTCTCAGTAAGCCTTCATTTACAAAAATAGATGGCGGGCCGGACTTGGCTGTGGGCTGTAGTTTGCTGACCACACCGTTACCAACCCACAGCAGGGCCTTCCACCAACCCCCTCCCCAACACGGCCTACACTGCAGCAGCTGTAAAGTAGCTTTCCTTGCAGACTTAAGTCCCCACTGGTGACAGAGGGAAAGGGAACTCAGAATCGACTATTAGCCTTGAAAAGACCCCAGGGAAGGTCCAGTCCGATTGGTTTTATATTTGAGGGCTCACAGTGACCCTTGGAGAGGCTGATGAACGCTGTGCATCCTCTCCCCAGAAGGACAGTCACTCCTCGTACTGCCGCTGTGCATGAAGCCAGACTCAGGCTATCACGGATCACAGCCCCATCAGTTAATTTTACAGACGAGGCAGCTGAGCCCAGTGGAGAGCCTGACTGACGCACAGCCCCACAACTAGTCAGAGAGGCCTCGGGCCCAGGGGGTTCACCTTCAGTCCAGGGTCTTCCTGGTAAGCGGCTGCCTTTTGCGCCTTTAAGAAGCAGGCACTAAATCCTTTGTCCTCTTGGGATTCTGGTAAAAGGAATCATTGAATCTGAAAAAGACTCTAGCTAAGTCTGTGCTTTCTATCTGAAAACAAAGGGATAGGACAGATTTATTTTGTGCAAAAAGGAAAATGTTTCTTTTTGAACAGAAGCGTCCCCAGAATTGTTTCCGTGATTGCACAGACGCTGCATCTTGGCCACTGCTCGAAGCGCAGTCCCTTCTGTGTGGGTGCTCAGCCTGAGGGTGCTCTCCTCGCGCCTCTCTAAGCAGAGGGCCCCCTTAGCTGCCGGCTGTAACCCTCGTGGGTTCCACCATGTGCCCAGCACTGCATGAGGCACTAGGGGGCAGGGCGGAGATGAAGAACCCAATCTGGGGAGCATTTTCCAGCACGGATAATACACACACGGCGGAATATGGTTAGGAACAAAAACATGCATACAAATTTAGGAGTCAAATCATCAGGAGAAAATCATTATTCTAGAAGCAGGGAGGAAAAGTCTATTGCCGAGAAAGGCTTATGAGGGTAAAGGCCTGGTGGGAAGTCAGGAGCAACGGGGCCGGGTGGGCCCACTGAGGGAATCTAGAGAGCCCCTGTCAGTCTAGGGGGCAGTCAGCAAGGGCTGGAGAGGGGCTGAGGCCACTGTTCTGAAGGCCCCATCATCAGGGCTTCCACCTTCTGCTCTCGTGATAGGAACACTGATAGTAGAACAAGTCTTTTTCGGAGCTCAGGAAGACACTCAACCCTCCCTTTGCCTTCCAATATTTTAAAAATATATTCCTTGAGTCCAAAATTAACACAGGAATCTTTCAATGGAACAACTTAGGCAGTCTTCCTTAAGCCACCCAGCAAAGCTGTCAGGATTTCTGGGATAGTGGTACATCCCTTTCCTTGCCAAGTTGCAACCTTCCATCGCTTCTTTCAACGCTGCCCTTGACTTGAGGGAAATGCCCTGGCTCGTTTATTACCCTCTGGACTTTGGCATGAGAGTGATAAGCCCCTTATCGCTGGGTGGCTGATGGTGCCACCTCTGCTTGGGAAATTGCCACTGTGACTGTCTACAATTAGGGACTGCTTCAAAGGCAATTGCCCAGCCCCAAGGGCTTACTTTCCCTGAGAGCCACAAAGAAGCAAAGATAAAATATAATAAAAAATTTAAAATGTAGAAAGAGAGTCTTTCCAAGAGTGCAGCTTCAAGCTCAGTGTCACGAATAATGAGCTGTTGTTTCTAGACACTCAACTCTCAGCAAAAAAGAACAGCATAGCCATGACTACCTCCTCTCAGACGCAGCATAATCCGCCTCCTCATGAGCAGGCTTTGGGTATTTGGTTCCCGCATTAGCGTGGCCTTCAACGCCTCACTGGCTTATAACGAGAAGAAATTTTTTGAGCACAGGCACACTGAGAACAGAGCTGACCATTAACTAGGGGCATCACAGCCTCCAGGCAGTTAGTCCTTCTCTGGGTGACGCCTGGAGGAAAAATGTGTTGACTCAAAACAAAGCCACCTCTCCCACCCCTCTACTCCAGCATCCTTCTCATTTATTCTGCTTTTCTCTGTTGGGCAAAAAGATGTAGAGGGAATTGCACTCACCTAGTGGTCCGAAGACCTTGATGGAGGTCCCAAGCCCATGACTTGCTGGCCCCGTGATGTCGCACTCCCCGACCTCAGTGTCCTCATCTGTAAGATGGGAGTAAGCATCCTACTGCTGCCCGCCCCTAAGCCAGTACCATCGTGAGGCTTGGCAGAGTAGACGCAGGTGCGTGGAGTGCCATGGAGCCTCTACCAACTGCACTGTCCCTGTTACTGTGTTGGCAGGAAGAAGATGACTATGAAAGTCCCAATGACGATCAGGATGGGGAGGATGACGGTGACTATGAGTCCCCCAATGAGGAGGACGAGGCGCCTGTGGAAGACGATGCCGACTATGAGCCACCACCCTCCAACGACGAGGAAGCTCTGCAGAACTCCATCCTGCCCGCCAAGCCTTTCTCCAACTCCAACTCCATGTACATCGGTGAGGCCCCTGGCAGCCCCCAGGCCCCAGGCCCCACTGATGCCTGGGCGACCATGACCACACAGCAGAAAGCTTTGCGTGCTGATGCCAGCTCAGCTTCTTCCTAGCTATGTGGCTTTGGGCAAGTGACTTCACTTCTCTGGACCTCAATTTCCTCATCTGTGAAACAGGATAATAATAATACAGCTTGCATAGGTTTGCTGTGAGGGTATTCTTATTGCAGATAATTCATCGCCTATGGTGGCTGATTATCAGCAGTGAACTGCCACTTCAGGGTATTGGCAGTAATAACTCATTTTGTGTATTACTTGGGTATTCAAGAGTACTTTCCTGCTCCTCCGCATCTTTTGACCAATTCATAGTTATGTGGCACCCCCACCCACAGACCGTCAGAATAAACAGGATGATATTGAGTAGGGTTTAACAATAACTTCAACGAGTTTTACATAGTTTTTAAGATTTTCATTTCTATCTGTTCCTGTCAGGCCCATTTCTCCCTCATTCATTCAACAAAAATCATTCATCTCCTATTACAAGCGAGGCATCATTCTAAATGCTGAAATTTGAAATCATCAGGAAAGAAGACCCAGCCCTAGTAGAGGTGGTGACAGAAAATGGGCTCAGGCACATTTGCATAATATAATGTCACAGAGTAAGCTAGAGAGGTGATGCTCGATAGCACAAAAAATTGATACCACTACTCCTTTATGCTGTATAACACTTTGCAATTTTACAGCCCGTTCACAAACGTCAGCATTTTCATTTGTGTTTTTAAGCAAGCTATGTGATAAAGTCAACAATTATCAAGCTTGTTTCATATACAGGGAAACTGAGGCCCAGAGAAGAAACAATAGCTAAGTTGTTGAGTACCCCAGTGTGCCAGTTATGAAGACACAGAGTGAACAAGACAGTCTTCACCCTAAAGAATTCATGATCCAGGGTGTGAGGAAACATCAGACAAATGAGTCACAAAATGATTTAACTGAACGATGATATATACTCAGGAAGACAAGTGTTGGAGATGAGGCTGGGGCGTATGCTTAGTCTGGGCTTGCTTCCCTGAGGATACGATATTTAAGCTGAAACTTAAAAGATAAATAGCAACTGGCCAAGTGAGTGTGGATGTGGGAAGGGAAGAGCATTGTAAGCAGTAGAATTGGCCATGCAAAGGCCCTGAGGCTTGAAGGAGCATGACATATCAGAGGAGCTTAGAGGTGGCCAGTGTTGGTGGAGTGGTATGAGATAAGACCCTGCTTGCCTGACTTCTGAGCCCCATTCTCGGTGGAAGAGCAATGTGTCTCCAGGGCTGGGACTAGGATGAGGCCAAAGAGGCAGGTGGGGCATAAATGTAAGGAGGCCTCCCTCACTCACAGCCCTGGCCTTTCCCTGTCAAAGGGGTGGGACATTGCCAGCCTGTCAACCTGGCCCAGGGTTTCTCCTGTGGGCGATCAGGAGAAAGTGAGTTTCTGTCCAGACCAAGTCCAAGTAACCAGTTAAGAGTCTGTGATTTGGTAACAGGAATTGGTGACCAGCTCCTTCCTTTAAAGGCAGAGATGAGCAAAAAGAGGAAATGGAGGGGGGGGGAACAGCCCACAGCATTTGTGACCGGAAGGAAGGGGACCCAGAACAGGATCCCTGTGACCCACAACAGCCTGCTTAACCGGCCTGGGCAGCTGGGTGTGCCTGTGCGTGTGTGCATGTGTGTCTCTGTGTCCATGTGTTCATGCATAGAGGTGCATACGTGTGTCTGTACACGTGTTTACTTCGTGATAATTCTGTCTGCAAACAGTCTCTTGGTGCGGGCTGAGCTAACCACAAAGAGGCCTTTCTTCACACCTTGATGAACAAAACCTCTGATAAATTTCCCTAGAGATGAGGTGAGAGTTGCTCCTAAGTATAAGCAGAGTAAGACAAACTGGGACAGGCAGGGGGCCAAGGACTCCCCACTCCCAGAAGCCCGAGGTGTGGACAAATCTCTGCCAGGGCCCGGGCCGGCGTTGGTGCTGGGCGGGGTGGAGGTGGGGTGGGCTGCGGGGTCGGTGCCCCCGAGCCGCCGCACAGAGCCGGGCGCGGGATTGGTTCTTGGAGAGCCCTGAGTGTGGCCCACCCTAGCCTTGGCTTAGCCTTCCTCCTCTCATGTAATGCTCTTGTGTTTCCGCAGACCGGCCCCCCTCCGGGAAGGCCCCGCAGCAGCCGCCAGTGCCCCCGCAGAGGCCGATGGCCGCCCTCCCACCGCCCCTCGCCGGCCGGAGTCACGCGGTAGGCCCCTGCTCCCTCTCATGCTACTGTGTGTCCACTCCGAGAATTTCCTCTGCCGGAGAGAAAATAAGACTATAAACACCTTTATCTAATTCTAACTAGTAAGAAAAGATTGTATACAGGCTGGGAAAATGCATACCCAAGTGCTCACAGTGGTTTTCGTTTTGATGACGGGTGTGAAATACTGGTGATTTCTATTCACATCATGATGCTTATCATGTGTATTTTCTTTTTACCATAAACAATATGAACTACCTGTATAATAAAATCTCCTTCCAGTATTCATTGTGCTATTATTTCCCGCTTTTGAAATAAGCGAAAACTGCAGAATAAGCTCTAAGAGGACCCAGATAAGTTAACAGGATTCCAGGGCCGCACGCCGCCTTCTCTCCTGCTAGAAGATTTGCGCCACCTGCCGGCCAAGGCCTGAAATTGCACGGGCAAACAGCTGGAGACCACGGTGTCCGGAGCACAGACCCCCGGAGAGAAAGAAAGGCGCCAACCCCCTTCCTCTCTCTTCAAGCTTACAGTCCCGGGTCCTGAGGGTCTAATTAAGTATCCAGAGAGGCCCGAGAAGTTCAGGCTAAGGAGTCATAGCTGGAAACCGTTCTCTTCTCATGGGACCAGAGCCTTTAACAGCAAATGCCGATGTGGCAGGGCTGGAAGGAGAGGCTGTAGTTTTCCAAAAGCTGGAAATCCAGCCCACACCACAGCTGGGACCTCTCATCTAAGAATAGATGGCTCCCTCCTGCTTGTGCAGTGTTACTGCAAAGGGGTCTCACGGAGCCGAATTTATCCACAGATGTGTTTTGCTTTTGAAACCTGAAGGCTTTCCCCTCCACTATTGGGATGCAGAATTCACTCATTCAATCTACAGGTATATATTGAGCAGCTACCATGTGCCACGCAGTGTTCTAGCTGCTGGGAATAGAGCGTGAACAAGACAAATAAGGTCCCTGCTTTCATAAAGTTTCGATTTGGGTTAGGGGGAGTCACATAATAAACAAGTAAGCAGAGATGCCAAACAGGGTGTGAGCTCGAGATTTTGCAGGAACTGCAAGAAGACACTTACAGTGGGAGCCTGTGGACACTGGAGAGAGGAGTATAAAGAGGGGTGGAAGGGTGGACAGGGCCAGCTCAGGCCGGGCCTTGCAGACCATGCTCAGTTTTTATTTTGTTCCTAATGTGATAGGAGCTATGAAAGGGTTTGGCAGGGAGTGAATGCTCCCTTCACTGTGATGCAGAAAATGACTTGGATGAGAGAGGACAGAACAGGGAGCTCAGATCAGAGGCTGGCATTCAGGTGAGAAATGGAGATGCATGTTTGTGGGTGGAACATGGAAATGGAGAAAAGTGTACAGGTTCAGACATACTTTGGGAGATAAATCCACCAAGGCTTGCTGATGTGTTGAAAATGCTTCCTAATATTTGGATCTTTTTTAAGCAGCCACTGCCGCCACCCCAGCCCAACCACGATGAGCCTAGCAGAAGTAGAAACCACAAAACAGCAAAGCGTAAGTAGAAGGGGCTGCCCTCTCTTCCCCACCAGCCCACCAGTACCCTCACCCCAACCAGCTGCTTTCTTCTTCTTCTTCTTCTTTTCTTTTCTTTTTTTTTTTGGTGAGGAAGATTGGCCTGAGCTAACATCAGATGCTAATCTTCCTCTTTTTGCTTGAGGAAAATTGTCCCTGATCTAACAGCTGTGCCAGTCTTTCTCTATTTTGTATGTGGGATGCTGCCACAGCATGGCTTGATGAGCAGTGTGTAGGTTGGTGCCCAGGAGCCAAACCTGTGAGCCCCGAACTTAACTACTATACCACCGGGGTGGCCCCTGCTTTCTTCTTTGAATTGACTTCAGTACTTTCTTCTTTTAATTGACTTCAATCTTCTTCCCTTCCAGTCCCTGCTCCTTCGATAGACAGAAGCACGAAACCTCCCCTAGACCGTTCGTTAGCCCCGTTTGACAGAGAGCCCTTCACACTAGGTTGGTATCATTCTGTTTGATGCATAGTGATGATGGCCAATATTGTGGAGTGCTGACTGCATGCTTTTCACATGCACCATCTCATTCAACTATCACCACAACATTATGAAGGGGGACTGTTAGAATCATCCTCATTTTATGGATGAGGAAACTGAGGCCTGAAGAGATAACTTCCCAAGATCACTCAGCTGCCAAGTGATGGGGGTAGAGACCCAAACCCAGGTCAGCCTGAAGCAGGCCTCCTGCCCTTTGCCTAGTACTGGGCCTGCTTTTTCATAGCTGCAGGCTGTGCACACGTATCTTGATGTCCTCCTGGAGGACGAGGCAGGAGGCATCACGGAGCAGGGGGAGGAAAGGGGCTAAGAGACAAGAAGTCTGGGAGAGCTGCCGTCTGCTGCCTTGGCTGCTACTCAGCAGCTCACTGACTGCAGGGACGATGCTTTTTCAGAGCTGTGTCTTTATTTGTAAGGTGGGTGTTCTGTAAGGAGAAATGCTTTGTAAAACTCTAAGGTGCTAGCCAAACGTCAGGGACGTTTTCTGTTGTACGTGTGCAGTTGACCCAACTGTGGGTGCACCACAGTCCTTCCCCCAGAATCCACCAGAGTGTTCTCGGATTGCAGCTGCCTCCCCATGAAGCTGTTTTCTATTCAATTCTAAAACTTAGTTACCATTTACTGGGCTCCTACTATGGCTCAAGGGCTTTACCTGCCACAGGTAAGTCACCTACATTATCTCTAAACCTCACACTAACCCAGCTAAGTGAGTGTATTATCATCCCCACTTTGCAGATGACAAAACTGAGCTCAGAGAGGTTGAATAATTCCCCCAAATTTGCATAACTAGGTGCAGGATTTGAACTCCTGTCTTTCTGATTCCAAAGTGGGTGCTGTTTTCCACCACATCATGCTGCAGCTGGAGACTCTGGATTTTCCTTGCTGTGGATCGGGAGTTCTGGGGAATCAGCGCCAAGCCTTGAGGGAGAAGGAGCCTGGATTCCCAGCCCCACCCCAGCCCTCCCTTACTGCACCCTGAGCAAGGCGTTCAGCCTTTGTGACCTCAGTCTCCTCGTCTGTCTGTCGGCAAAATGACTTTCAGTTCTTGGATTTGAGGCTGCTGCTTGCTGCCGTTTCCCTGAACTGCATCCCAGCTCTGCTGAATCGTGCCCAGCTGTGGGGCTGTGTTAGTTTAGAGTGGCCCACCGTAAAGGGCTGTATGATTTATGTGGAAATGAAGACAGAGAGAACACACTTTAGATTCCAGCCCTGCTTACGACCATGAGCCAAGGCATCGGGACAGAGGACACTGACAGCACGTCCTCCAGAGTTAACTCCTGAACAACAGCTACCCTCCTAAAAGACTCCTTTTTTTTTCTTTTTTAACTTTTGGAAGACACCGTTTCTTGATAATACCAGCTCTATCCTTGAATTCCTCCCTTGTCCATGATGTTTTGGAAGAACTAACCTCTTACAACGATGCCCAGACTCTTACCAGAAGACTCCTAACATGCCTAGAGAATATGCACAAGTCAGCAAACTCTTTTAAAAGAAAATCTATTCAGGCCTAAAGATACAAATCTAAGTTTTCCCTAAAGTAGGGCTTCCACTCAAAGCCAAAGTTTTATAAATAACTAACATTTTTTTTACCATGCAAACTCTCTCCCACTAAGCAGTGAGCTCTTCACAGTGGGACAAGATTCTTAGGAGCTATCATGGGCCTGGCATGTACTCAGTCCTTAAAGAATAAATTATGTTGTGAAAACGCACCTCTAGGCAGATCATACCACTGTTCACCTTGGGGTGTTAACTTAGCCTGGGGGTAGGAGGGAGGGGAAGAAAAAGGAGCTGTCTAACAGTTGTCAGCATCCATGGAACATGTGCCTGTCCTCGCATATAAATTGTCACCTGATCCTTACAGCAAACCTATGCTGTTTTAACCTGCAATCCCCATTTTACAGGTGAAGAAATTGAGACTCAACGACCTTAAATAACTTGCTCCAAGTCATGCAGGATTTGCTTCTAGACCTGTTTGAATCCAGTTAGTAATCCATCATTACACTGATGACATGGGGCATATCTTCCCTAGGGGACTTCAGACAGGATAAAGAATAAATTGCTTTGAATAACTTTGCAATGCAGAGTTCTCAGGTACACCTAACATTTCTTCAGGAGCCTGCATCTTCCAAGAGAAAAGTGAAAGAAAGAAACAAAAACCAATAAAAATAAAAACAAAATGATTTGCAACTCACAAGAGACTCTCTTAAACCCTCTCCCCCAAGTTAAAAGTTTTTCCAGAAATTGAGTGTAATACTTCCTATAATGTCAAGTGTACCACAGCATTGGAGGAAAACTAACCTCTTCAATGGCAAATGGGTTTATTTCAGATACAGAAATAAACGTAAGCTGTACAAAGAACCTCTTGACCAATGAAAGAGGCATAAAATCCCAAGAAGACATTAATCCTTTTTATAGTCAGTTACATAAAATAAAATACTGAAAAGAATCACAGAATCCAGAATACTGTTTGTAGGAACACAATACTGTGTGACCTTGGGCAAGTCACTTCATTTCTGTGAGCCTGTAAAATTGGGTGCTCTGTAAGGCACCCTCCAGGTCTAAAGTCTGTGATTCCTCAGTGCTTAAGCCCAGGCAGCCCCGCAAGGGGCTCAGATTCACAGTTTCATCAAACTATGGTTTAATGCCTTCTGCTCAGCTGATAAAGCCCTGAATTCAAGCCCTGTCTGCTATTTGTCCTTTACAGGAAAGAAACCGGCACTTTCTGAGAAGGTAAGCTGTTCCCCTGCTTCATTTGCATTTTTGTTTTTTCTGGATCTTTACTCTTTGAAAAGTGCTGAGGACACTCACACGTGCTCTCTTGCTCTCTTGCAGCCCTTGGCCCTGGCAGGAAGGTAAGCGCTCTGCTGTGTCTGTGCGAGGGGTCGCGGTCTATGCTCTAGACCTCTGTGGGGAAGTTAAGGTTGTTTCTCACACACCGTTTCTCTCGACTCTGCAGGCCTCTCGGGGAGCATTTACCCAAGATACAAAAGCCTCCTTTACCACCAACCGCGGAAAGACACGACAGAAGTAGCCCCCTGCTAGCGAAGAAGCCACCTGTGCCAAAGTAACTGTCTTCTGTTGTTTGCACTTGTCGTTCAGAGTGGGTGACAGGAACAACCGGCCTGGTGTTAGCTCAACGTAGGAACTGAAATCCTGGGAGCTCCCGGTGGGAGTGGGCTGGTTGCTGCTGAGGCTTGAGGAACGTTCAGGCTTCTCAGGTGGGAGGTAAAGTAGCTGGGTCCCTTTGAAGAAAATGGCAAGCTAGTGAAGAAAGGAGCAGAGAGATGCTTCGTCGGGTGTATGGGAATGACCATCGTTTGTGGAGACCTTACCCTCAACCAGTCAGATTTGTGGTTGCGTTTTCCTGCCGTCGCAGACCGTGGGGACTGTAGCTTCCATTTTATATTTCCAAACAGGCAGCGAAGAGGAAATAATTAGGGGAGGTTTTGAGGTCACTGCGAGTGTCTTCCTCACTGCTCAACCACATTTTATGAAGGCAGAATCCTGAGGTCTGCTCCAATATGTCTGACTTTCCCATAGTCTTTTGGGGCCTATTTGCCAAAAGGCACAAATGCGTCTGGGCTCAGGCCCAACCCCTCTACTCACGGAGGACATAACCAAGGCTTCTGTTGGTCTCACCTATATAACCAGGATTCCTCACTCTGGCCCTTGCTCGGCTGGTGTGAGGGCTAGGTCAGGGCCAGGGCTAGGGTGTGCCAAAAAAGCCCTAGTAATGAAATTAATATTTTAATGGACTATTTTAAAAAAATCAAAATGAATGCAAAAAATATCGTAACGAACTAAACACCAAAATTTTAAATAAACACAGGATGAGATGATGACACATGAAGCATCCAACAGATAGGAGGCATTCAACAAACTGTCCTCACGTTCCTCTCTCCGAGGAGAATGTGCTGCCGCCCAGGCGTACGGCTGCCTGCCAGAGCGCCAAGGCAGCTGTCACCAAATCTGTTTGACTAGCTCGTGCATCTGGGCAAAGTCCAAAGCAGCAGCACTTTCCAACTGTCTTCCCTTCACACGAAGGGCCAGCCCTGAGACAGGGGTTTTAAAACATCGGCACAGGAGAGCATTGTCTGGAATGTTTTCATTTGCTTGGAGAAGCACCTACTCAGTGAAATTTAATAGCTACTAAAGACTGAGTTTGCTGACTAAACCTTTTCTTTCTCTATATATGTGATCATTTGCTGCAGTAGCTAAACCAAACAGAGGTTTGACTTGCTCAGCTCAAAGTGGTGACAGAACCTTGAGTCACCAGCGACGACTCCCTTCTGCTGCCTCTCTGCTTTCCTGCACGGCTTTTTTGCTTCTCATTTTACCCTGGCTTGTTGGTTTCCATATCTTGTTATTAGATTAAGTAAAACTATCTATATTCTGAGGCCAGCTCTTTGAAACTCTTCACGCTCACTTCTTTTTCTTTGCCCTAATTCACTGCAGGCATGGATGGGGACCAGACAGAAGAGAGAATGTAAGTATGAAATGTCGTTTGGTGAATGCTTAGCACGGGGAAAACAGTGCAGGCTCCATGAGGTCGGGGCTCCATCTGTCTCGGCCTTCACTGAAGGCCAGTACTGGGAGCAAGGCCAACACAGAGTAGGCACTTGAATATTGGTGCCTGTTGGGGCCTCCATCTTTCCCTCCTGGCCACCGTGCTGCACTGATTAGCTCCAGTCTCTCTGAGAGCTCCCCAGGTGACTGGATTAATCACAGCCCCTACCAGGTGGTAATTAGCAAGGTAAAGGGGCAGTGGGTGGAGGGGAGGATAAACTGAGGGATGCCCAAGAGTGTGGGCTTCACAGCAAAGTTTCCAAGGCCTCTGTTTTGTTTTTTAATACCGCCACATCCTGAAAAAGAGGGGAAATAGGATTTATTGAATGCCTATTATGTGCATTTTTCCAAGCTAGCTGTTTTTGTGTGACCAACTGTTTGCCTGGGACTTGGCCGGTTTTAGCACTGAAAACCTCATGTCCCAGGTACGCTGTCAGTTTCAGGCAAATCAGGACCAGGACAGTTGGTCACCCCTAGCTTTACACATTTTGCATTTAATGACCCTATGAGGAATTGTTTCTCTTTTACTAAGAGGAAATTGAAGCTCAGAAGAGGTAAGGTACTCACTGCAAGTTGCACAGCTAGTAAGTAGTCTGGATGGGAGTCCGGGCTGTCTGACTTCCTCTACACTGTAAGCCCTCCGAAGACCATCACACCCTGCCCTGTTCGAGGGCTCAGCCCACAAATGCCTGCTGTTTCCGTAGCTCTGTGCTAGATGCTGTGCTTGTTCAGATGAAGCACTAAGATGTGATGGAGACAGGAAAACCCACATCCAACAAGCTGAACAGCATACAATCACAGAATAAACTATAGAGGTGAAGGGAAAAAAGTGATCCATGGGGCTCAAGGAGCCAGGGGTGACTTCTTAGAGGAGGTGAGATTTGTAATGGTCATTGAATGATGGGGAGGACACAGAATAGTCACCTTAAGAGAAAGCCTGGGTGCATTCCAGCCTCAGGGATGTCCTGAGCAAAGGCAGGTGAGGGCAATGCCCCTGGAGCCTTTTGGGACAGGAGGACAGCAGGTTGGCTGCAGAGTCATAGGGACAAAAAGGAAGCAAGGTGCTTGAAAGCTTGAAAGCAAGGGTAATATCACATTCCTGAGGTTCCCAGTCTCTGGATGTGTTGATGCTTCTGGCATGAGAATCCTCCGGGAGTCATATATTCTTGAACCAAAGGGGACATAGTTGCAACGGTGTTAAAGAGCAATTTCGTTGTGGGGATGCCCTGAGCCCATGTGCGGTTATGGATGCAGCCCTTTGCTGGCACTCCCATTTGGCCAATTGGGATGAATGATTCTGGCTATGATCCTTCTCGCCTTATCTCAATGGCAGGACTAATGACAGCTGATTTTTATTAAGGACTCAATATGTACCAGGCACATCCAGTAACTAATTTCATCCTCAAAACAACACTTTAAGGAAAGGGCTCTTTCATCACCACCGTGCTAACCTAGTCCAGGTTGGCAGTTTTGATCTACTAATCGATGGTGAAATCATTTTTGCCTCTCCACCATCATTTCTTATCTGAGGAGTAAAGCAAATAGTCCCTGCTTTACCTATTCCACAAGGTTGCCCTGAAGATAAATTTTCTGAGCCATGCAGACACAGCTTGTAAATCACGTTATAAATAAGTAAGGCTTTCAAGGGGAGTGTCCATTGCAAAGCAGAATCCAAAAGGCTGAGCTTTGGGTCAGACAGATTGGGGCTTGATCTGTTTCTGTAACCATTAGCAAGTTAGGAGTCGTTCCTGAGCAGTATGTTCCCATTTGTAAAATCAGGATGTTAAATTCTTGAATGATTTCTCGGGCGATTGGATGAAATATCATATATGAATCTTTTTGGTGCACAGTAGATATTGTCACTATTGCTGTATCTTTGGGCCCTTTTAGGCACCTCAGAACCTATTTTATGCTCACGAGAGTCTCAGGTTGGAGTGTCTTAGATGGTTGTATGTATTAAGGAATCATAATACAGAAATCATAAACAGTAGAACCGTTAGCAGGTTCCACTGTTCTCTGCAGTGTATTCGTTATGGAGACACACACAACTGCTAAAGAAAGAAACAGAGACATTTATGTGACGAGAATTGTATGTCTTCTTTTAAGAACTGTGTTTTGATGATAGGTTAATAGCTTTTTTTTCCTTCCCCTTACCAGGATGAAGATGATGGTATGTTCAGAAAAGCTTCCTTACAACTTATACCTCATTCCTTCATTTTTCTGCTTGGGCATTCCAATGGAATTATTTAGTACAGAAACCCCATAGGATCAATGATAATTGTTCAATTAATGTTAAATGGACATACATCAGGTGGTATGCTGCATAACTATAATAAAATGGAATTATTTGGCTGGGTTACCAAAGGGAACTGTTAAGTTCCTGTGTAACAGTGCAAACGACTTAAGAGTACAGCGAAGTTAAACACTGCACGTGCGGTTCGACAGAAAACATGCTAATACTTATGCCCTCTAATGTATGTGGGTAAAGGATCAGAACTGCAGATGAATGAGATAGCATAAAAGTTGGCTCTCATAAAACAAAACCAAACTTGTGAATCATTTCTGAAACTCACATGGTTTCCAATTGACAATTTTCTGCCAAGTTAGCAGTTCAAAAATGAAAAAAATGTGTATTACAGAGAATGATATGAAACGGTATCATTTTAAAAATGCATTCTAAGGTGGTGAATCCTCTAGAAAAACCTTGGGGGTGGAGTTTCATCCTACCACTTCTTAATTACATTTGATCTTTTGTATCTCCCTTTAGATTAGCTATTTCTAGCCAGGGAGCAGTTCTGGAATGTTCCTTGTGACACTTGGATGCTGACAATCACCTTTATTTTTTTCTTCTCCCCCACAGTGCATCAGAGACCTTTGCCCCAGCCGGCACTGCTCCCCATGAGCTCCAACACTTTTCCTTCAAGATCTGCCAAGCCATCACCCAAGCACTCCCTCCCATCATCTCACATGCCCGGAGCATTCTCAGAAAGGTTTGCGGCAAGATCCCTAAAACTGAGCTAATGCCAGATGGGTTGAGGAAGAAAGAAAGGAGCCAGTGGTAGTAGAGTCAGAACATTTTGGGTCTTAAGAAACAAAACCAAGCTGAGCATAAAGAACCACACACGTTAATCCACTGCTGTCCTCTGAGTCTGTGCTTGGGGTCGGAGGGGTACAGAACTGACTGCTCCGTGGGTGCCCCAGAAAGAATGGACCCTTTGGCAAGAAATGGGGAATGTTTTCACTTTGTGAGTTAAAACAAACAAACAAACACTCAAGAAACCTAATTAATTTAAGGACTTGGAGTTCACCCAGCATCTTGGATGGGTAGAAGGAGAAAACATCCCTTGCACTTAGCAGGTGCTAAGCATTCACTGCACAGGCTCTGTTTTCTCAATAGCAATAGTGTTTCTCAGGACCCATGATGAGGCTCTCCAGAGCAGCGGCACAAACAGTGGACAGACTCAGGTCATTTCTCCCTAAACAAGCCCAGAGGCTGCCTCCTGGTGACCTCCAAGGCCTCCAGCCCTTCGGGCTCATTCTCTCCTTTACTAGCCAAAGGGAGATGCCCAGTCCCCAACCTAAATATGGGAGAAAACTCGACCACCAGCATGATCCCTGTGCCCCTGCCAAATATCTGGAAGAATTCTCAAAATTTTTCATTTTCCCTGGGTGCCTCTTGCTCTGATTTTCTACGGCTTCTCATTCTTCCAGCTCTTTTTCTTCTTCTGCCATTTTCTCATGCTGCTTCACCCCACACTGGGCCCCAGCCCTATCCTTCATTCTTGCAAAATACCACTCAGTGAGACTGCTGAGCAGAGCAGAATTGTACGGGAGGTTTGGGCTGATGGCTGGGGGGATTGCTGCTCAGCAGGGAGCAGACAGCATTTCAGGGCCCCCCACAGGCCCTGCCTCTACCACCCTGTCCCTGCAGGCACTGTTTCTGTCTGATGCAGTGCCACCTAGCCCTCTGTTCCTCATCCACGCTACCCTCTCCTTGTAGACAGACCAGTAGGCCCTGGGATTCACTACTCCAAACAACATGCACATTAATATATTCTCAAAATATATTTTCAAAAGAGAAGTCTCTCCCCAGAGGGCTTCTGCCAGTCTCCAAACTCAAAGGCCTCAAATTGCAGCCAACCCTTTAGAGTAACTTTTAAATGTCATTAACACAGATTTTTCATTTTTGCGCTTGTGAAGCTTGTTAGACTTTGGGATGGTCCATCTTGGGACAGTAGTGAAATATGTCCCATTAGTCCCTTCTCTTTGCCCAGCCCCACGGTGTCAGGGAGGGGTGGGAAGTACTAACAGAGGAAATAGCATTTGCAGTCCAGTTTCCCCCACCCAGCCTCCCCATCTGGCCCCTTCACCCCAAACCAACTTCAAACCCGTTCTGTTTGTCTCCGCAGTAACAGCAGTTTTCCGCAGAGCGCCTCCCTGCCGCCATACTTCTCTCAAGGTTCGTCCTCTGGGCTCTGGGGACCCCCTCCAGGCAACATGCCTTCATGACTGGGTTACCAACCTGTCCCAAACCCTCTTGGCCAAGGTTTTGTTTCCTAAAAAGCATCTGACTTCCTCATTCAGCACCTAATTCAGTTTCTTCAGTGTGCTGTTGGGATGATAGGGTACCACATAAAACAACACACACACACACACACACACACACACACTTCTTTGGGAAGGCGGCCTTGGCCGTAACCTTCCCACATAGCACTTTTTGTGCCTGCTGTTTTTATATGGCGCTCAGGGCAGTGCTTGGCTTTCTCTGTAGTTTTAGGTTTCTATAATGAATCTATCTGTGAGTTGTGAGTTGGGGAGCATGTTTGAAATACAGATTAAGAGAATCCAACTCCCAAGGCTCTAATTCAGTAAGTCTGGGTGAGGACCTCCATTTTTAATAATAGCTCCTCTGGGTGTCCATGATAAGGATTTGCTGAGAGTGTTCTCAAAGTTTTACGTGCATACAAATCACCTGGGAATTGTTCAAAGTAGAGATTCTAATTCAGTGGGTCTGAGGTGGGACCTGAGAGTCTGCATTTCCAGCAAGTTCCCATGTGCTGCTGGTATTGTTGGTCCATGACCACTCTGAGTAGCAGCAAAGGTGTACAAGGTAGGACTAGACTGTGATTATTTTTCATCCTTAAAGTGGGTGAGTGGCATATGGTAGGCACTTTTAAAATGTTTGTTGAATGACTGAATGTCTAATGACTGTGGAAAGTTACCCAACTCTGCTAAATAGAGTTTTCCCAAGCCAGGAAACTGGCCAAGTTTTGCCAGATTTTCTGCTATTCTTTTCAGGAAAAACTAGAAATATGGCTTTTAATGTGACATTATCTGATTTGTAAAGGTTGACTTAAAATTTTTAAAAATGCCATAAGGAACAAACCAAACACATTTCTGCAGTCATGGTCCACGTGCAGGAACATGAGTGTGTGTTATAAATAGAAAACTACATTAGTAAGTTTGGATTGTAGCTCAGGAGTAAACACTTTTCTCAGGAGCACTTCTTACATCCCGTGTACGTGTGAAATCCACCGTTCTCAATGATTCCCGAGCATTTGAGGGGATAGTGTGCGTATCCACTCCATGGTTCCCACAGTTGCCCTCACAACCGTCCATTTTCCACAGTGTCCACAACTCACTGTGTCCTATGAACCCACATTGTAGTACCTGCCTGACCCCTGCAGGCATCTGAGCTCCAGCCGCTTCACTTACAGCAATGTCTCCCAAATTGAGTTCCACAGACCCCTGGTTTAAGCGCTGGTGATGGGATTATTAATACAAACAGTTGGTTAATTCTTCCTTGGAATACTACTGTCATCAAAATTGATCCTTTTTCCCCTGAGACTGCCCAGAGCCCCGCTCCTCAGTCTTCTCCACTGGCTGCTTTAACATGGGGAAGGTAAAGGCTGTGTTGCGTATTGTCCAGAAACCTGTCCCAGCTCCCTTGAGGATCAGATAGTAAGGGTGGTGGGCGACTGCAATATAAAGGAGTATGTTGTCTGTCGTGCATAGCGACTTCATGGTACTGGCCTGTAGATGCAGAAGCAGAAGAGAATGATATCTCAACTCTAAAATGGCATGCAGTATAGGCCTTGGTTATATGACTTTGCTATGTGGTTAGATTTCACTACTTCCACAAACATTATAAAAGTGCCTGCCATGGTCGTCTGCAAAGGTGAGGTCAGGGAAGGGCTCTTCAGGTACTGGGAGCCTTCAGAAGGAAGATCAGCAGCTCAGGCCAGGCTGACCTGCTTATTTGGAAACAGTGAATGTCATCGTAAATAATCCTGGTGACACGGTTTAGGAGACTGCAGCCCTTCCCAGGTTACCCTCCTCTCAGTGGCATGGCAGGCAGTTTGCCGCTTGTGCATAGTGTAGATGGAGTAACAACTCCACTACAGAACCGCCTGGAGTGCTTGTTAGATGCAGATTCCCGGGCTCTGGGCAATTCAAAGGCCCCCAGAGATTCTTATTTATGCAGAGTAATGTTTGGGAACCACAGGTTCAAGTCCTGGCCCTGCCAGTAAGAGCACACAATTTGTTTAGGCTCTCTGAGCCTCTATTTCCTCATGTTAAAAAAAAAGATACTACCCACCTGTGGTGTTGCTGCGAGGATTACAGGTAGCACGCATAGGTGCCTTACTCAAGGCCCGGACAGAGTGGTGCTGGATAAATATTTGTTGTATAAATGAATGAATGATACATGAACAATTAAGAGAACACTCAGCTCACAGAACTTTTCAGTTTTTAACAGCTGTTCTGGCACACAGAAAACAGCCTTGGCATCACACCGTTCCTGAGATGAGGAAACACCCTCTCTCAGAAAGTCTCAGGGAACTGTAACCAAGAAAGGAAAGCGTTAGAGTGGGTGAGACACAAGTGCTGGCTACTCTATAGGAACACGGCAAAGACTTCCTGATCCATCAGATAGTTGGTAGGTCCTTCTATGTGAGTTGAACACTTCTGCCTCTTTAGAAAATTTACTAAAGAACAGCAGGTAGCAAATTCTGATTTTAAAAGTTAACAATATTCTCAAGGTGATTTCACCTTGTCTTGGGTAACTTGTGTTTCTTTTTGTGAAAACAATGAGAACATAATTACCTTCATTACTCCGTTGTCACCACATCAGCGGTTGGGAATCCATTCTGGGTGTGTTGGAGTCTATGAAAGATCTGTCCCTTGAATATTCTTTTTGATGATCATATTAAAATGACTGTGACTTTTTCATCAATGGATCTAGTCACTTTATATTATGTAACATGCACATTTAAGAAACCACTCAAATTTGTGGTACTGCTCTGAAAATTTCATTGGCATGGCTACAGAGTAACAGGCTGAGCAGCCCTTTGGTTTTGAGCAGGTGAAAATTATTTTGAAGCTATGGTTTCTTGAAATGTTAATTTCTGGGAACAATTGCAAGGGCATTCTGGGGGGAAAATGTGTTATGACAGAAGTGAAAAATGGCTTACAGTAAATTAACTTTCAAAATGCTTTACTTTTGAAGGTCCTAGCAACAGACCACCACCCAGAGCTGAAGGCAGGAACTTTTCCTTGCCAGTTCCAAACAAACCTCGGCCACCATCCCCCGGAGAAGAAGAGGTAATAAAGATATGTTCGCATTTGATTTTTCTCCCCAGCAAACGACTCATCAGAAACTCCCATTGAATGCTCTTTTGTAATTTTATCTTCTATTAAGTTAAAAAAATTAAGGGTAGGATCCAGATGAAAAATAATATGTTCTTTTTCCTTGGTGTTCTTTCAGACTCTTCCAATGGCAAATGTGTATTTTGCATTAAACAATGAGAAAAAATAATCCTATTTTTCATCTGTTTCCCAGCTTATGACCTTGACTAAGTCACTTAACTGATCCTTAAGACAGTTTTTTTCATTAAGTATATTATGCTAAACTGAAGAAATTATTACATCTATTTCCTAATTAGAAGTTCCATTATAAAAGGAATGCTTATGCCAGCTACCTTTGCAACCAGTGTCATGACAAAAAGCAGTTCACACAAAATACCTTCTATTTAGCTCCACCTGAATGATTCTATATTCAAATTAAGAAAACAAATGTTTCAAATCTCATGGAATTGAGGTGGCGATTTACGGAAATGATGACTTGAAGGCTGTTCTTTTCACTTACATATGTAACTGCAAAATTTATTCAGTTTTTAAAAATTTACGTTTTCAGAATTCATTAAATGAAGAGTGGTACGTTTCTTATATTACCCGACCAGAGGCAGAAGCTGCTCTCAGAAGGATAAACCAGGTACTGTGCTAAAGTTTATTTTTAAGTAGTTATAAATATTAACGGAAGGAGAAAAAGACAATTGACTTTTATGGAGTCCCAATTATAGGCTAGGAATTCTACTAGGTGCCATTTGTGTTCATGCTGTTATACCAAGGGGACCCATTAGTGCCAGCTTCACAACCACCAGCATCCACAGCAATGATTCCTAGGACCCTGGGAAAAATCGAAAATAAGGTAGTCATTGGGCTGGCAGAATCTTAGGAGATTTAATTAACGAAAAAGGTCCGTCTTGTTACAGAAATCACACAGTCAAAAGGAGACTCTCTTTTCCCCAAATTTCCAACATCTTATTGATTCCGTCTTCCTCTTAATACACAGTTGCCATCCACATCCATGTGAAGGGAACCGTATCAAGAGAGACAGCAGCAACTTTTTGCCCTTTCCCGTAGAAATTTCTGGCTATCCTTTAATATTATAAGGTCTTGACCAGATTTCCTGCCGTCCTGTGCTTAACCTTAACCTTAAATCTGTACATCAGAAAGGAGAAAGCCAAGATCCTTCATCTTTCACATCTCAAGTCTACAACAGTAGTTCTCAACCTTAGCTGCATATTTAAATCGCCTGGGGAGCTTTAAAAAATTCTAATTCCTGGGTCTCACCTACAGAGGTTCCAGTTTAATTAGTCAGGGGCGCTGTGTGTGCTCTGGGAGTCTTCAGAATTCCCCAAGTGATTCTAAAGTGAAGCCAAGGCTGTGAATCACTGGTCCGTAGGTATATTTGTTCAACAGAGATGTTCTGACAGGAATTTACTCGACTAACTTGGAATAAAAAGAACAAAGGAAAGCCATTATTGCAGATCAATGGCTATCTAAAGCCATCCTGATTTAATAGAAGGGTGCAGGATAAACATGTCCTTCCTAATTAATTCTATTTTAATATTAGATCTTGACAGTATTAATATTATGTAGCAATAATTTATGGAATGAAATTTTAAAGTGCAGGATAAATCACAACATTGTTTGGGTAAATATCAGAAAAAAGGGTGATGAGAACACAGACAGTCCATATTCAATTCTGTTCAGCTCTTTGATGATGAAACATTCTAGCTGGAGAGCATGAGGTTTTAAAATGGGTGAATTTCATAGGCATTTGGGTGTTTTCTGACTTTGGCTGTGGGAAGTAAGAGTTAGGGAATTAGCACCCAGAAGCAGGACGATCTATCTTTAGTTAACCAATAGTCCTTATTTTACCTGGCTACTTACCCACTCAACCACCTATTTTTTGTTTTATTACTGAATGAAAAAGAGATTCCTTTTTAATGGAGAGACTTCAAAGAGGTCTCTTTGAAATTTGGAAATTTCTCTGATACAATCTCTGCTGCCTCTTTCTACAACCAAGAAATCCATGACACGGGACTGTGGCTGTCTGGGGAACTAAATGCTCACTGACTTGTCAGCTGGTAGGTTTCCAGATCCCGAGAGGCTTGTCTACTGCTCTTACAGGCAACACAAATATTGACTTTTACTGCTCTCGTAATAACAAGAATTTATCCTTTTAGGATGGCACTTTTCTGGTTAGAGACAGCTCTAAAAAAACAATAACCAATCCGTATGTCCTCATGGTGTTGTACAAAGATAAAGTCTACAACATCCAGATCCGTTATCAGGAGGAAAACCAAGTTTACTTGTTGGGAACTGGACTCCGAGGGAAAGAGGTAGGAACTTGCAGTTGTAAAGTTTCCCCTAATTCTCTATTTATGCCTCTCTGTGTACCTACCCACATGGAACCTTGCTGTAACATTCTTTGGGGGTCTATACCTTAGAATTAAATCACATTAATGAAGCCTTTCATTTACTGGAAGAAAACAAAACAAAATGTTAAGGGTAGCTATCTCTGCCACAGAGTCTAACTTTCTTAGAGTTTTTATTCCAAATAGTCTAAAATCATGTGTATAATTTTTAAAATAAAAAAAGTTAACATTTAAATGTTTTTAAAAACCCAATTAGATAGTTTCAAAGGCATCTATCTTTCACCTTTGTGACGTAACTTAATGTAAGATTGCAGCATATTTGTAAGGCTGTATTTTAAATCAACATCTGGAAAAGGGGAAATGATAGCATTCTTGTTGTGATGATTCTTTAGCTACTTGTGTCAACTCTTACTAAAAATGGAGGTTTGGCCAATGAAGGTGGCCAAACTGCCAAAAACATTTTCCTTTGTTGGGCCAAGGTTTAGACTAGTCACTTTCTGGGTGGTCATCAGAACTGGTGTGAAGGAAACCTTTCAGGGCTGCTTTTGCAAAAGAAACTAACAGCTAAACTTAATGCCTCAAACATGTTCTTCAAGTTCAAAGTTCCAGGAGGAGGATCAGCTGAATCAAACATTTTCCAGAATGAGAACAAGCTCACCTATAACTTCTACTTCACTTCAAAAATTTTAAAGTTATGATCATGTAAACGAGTAGAAGAACAAATGATTTTGGTCAAATGTTTCAATCACTGGTTAGGTGTGTATAGAGCTGCACAGGTCCTAAAGAAGCAGAGATGTCCGCCATCCAGGATTTCTGCCATTCCAGTATGGTAAAAACACAAGTACAAACCACTCATTGCAGCTGCCCTGGTGGGAACACCTAGCAGAGTAGTCCTGGAGGAAGTGCACAACCCTGTCTACGGTACCAAGGTGATTCTGACCTATATCTAGAAGGATGGCTGGGGGTTTTCCCAGGCTGGCCATCAGAGATAGGGTGATGCAGGCAGTGGATGCCAAGACTTGGCTGAAGAGCCCTTTTGAGTGTTGAAGTGGCAGTGGGGCACAGCAGAGAGATATCATGAAGGAACTATTGTGCCATGCTATGGATATCACCTCCAGACACTGGGGGCACCATCTGAATTCCTGATTCCTTGTATCTCCACACACCACTAGTGATTGAGAGTGAAATAGGGATACAGAAACCAAAACCAAACCCACAAACAGAGCAATCCTAAGGCAAGGCTATCATAATTAGACTCCCTATGTATATATATGACCCCCATATGAAGTTAAAATACATGTATCTATATATATATAACTATATATATGTCTTTTATCCACGGTTTGTTGGATGTTGGTGAGGAATTTTTTTTTCAAAGTTCTATAGCAGAAATCATTAAAATATTTGCCAAATTTTACATATATTTTTTCCAACAAGCCTCCTAACTTTAAGACGTAGGATACTATGAGGTAAATAAACTGAGGGTGAAATTCATGCTACCCATTCCAATGTTGATTATCTCCCTCTTTCTGACTCTTTCAGGACTTTTTGTCTGTGTCAGATATTATCGACTACTTCAGGAAAATGCCACTTCTGCTCATTGATGGGAAAAACCGAGGCTCCAGATACCAGTGCACATTAACGCACGCTGCAGGTTATCCCTAGCAAGTTAGCCAAGCAAATGAACCTTCCTCTTGCCTCTGTTGCCAGCATGGGAAGATCAGTCACCCTTGGCAAATGGACAAACACCTAGGACTGAATCAAACTCTTCAACATGAACACAAGGGTTTTGTCCTTTTGCTTAAAAATGTGTTTGAAATGAAGACTGTCAAATATCCCATAATTTATTTATTCTTCTTCACTGTTTGTAAAGTGCATGAGCAATAATGTTCACACAGTCTAAGAGTGCACTGTAATAAGTCATATCAAATATATGTATTTTTGAATACCCATTTCAAAGTACAGTAGCTTACACAGCTAAAGAAATATTTTGGGGAAAGTATAAAAACACTTAATAACAGTTTTTGCTATCACATAAAACTGAATTTTTTTAATAGCCAAACCTTTGTCAGTCAGAGGCAATCATCAGTTTTATACATATAATTTGAAAATTACTAAAATTCACTTTCTCAGCAGAATTTAAGAGGCTTTAACGATATTTCATCTTTTATTTGGTGTTTTTTGCTAGGGGGATTTTTGTGTACTTTTTTATGAAAAGATAATGCATGTTGGGATAACTTCCTGGGATTAAAATTAATTTGCCTTTTGCTTTACTTTTGGGTTTCTAAAACAACTTTATTGACTTTACTTTTTAGTCCTATTATTATATTTTTATTTCAAAGCACATTTAAGCTACAAATACCAAAAAACCCCCAAAACATTTTAAGTTCATCACATCCTGACACCCACATCCCACCTCCTCTACACCCCACCCAACTCCAAAACATTTCAAGTGATGCCGATTTTACCAAAGTCTTCCTGGGAAGACGAAAGAGCAATGTGTATACACGGAAAATTTTGATCTGACTTTCTGATTAGATACCTTTCTTCTATCTCTTTTTATCCCCCTTGACAACTCTGTCACAAAGCCCTTCTCCTCATCCTTCCCAAAAAGGCTTTATAAATCCAGCAAAGCAATTCAGCTCTCTCCTTGGTTTTATGTATCTCACTTAAAAAGTAGTAGGCATTTCAAAAAGCAAAAACCCAGCCTTCAGTGGTGCTTCAGGGTGTCCCGCTTTGGGCCCTGGGCTGTTATTCCACAATTTTTATTAGTAACAAAAATTGTTGGCTTCTCTGCTTAATCTACAAGTTTTCTGGGTGTCAAAGAATATCTTGCATCTTCACTTTCATGAGCTAATAGAGAGAACACTGGAAGGGATCTTGGAAGTCACTGATTTAAAACTGACAGCTAAGATGAGTAATGTGGAGACTTTTAACCAATGATGATAAAAATGCTGTTTCACAAAACTTCATCCTTACAAACCAGAAGTTCTCAATTTACAGCCCAGAACTTGGGAATTCTAAAGCTGAAAAACCTGCTTTGACTTATATGTTTATTCAAGAGGATATTCAACAAGCATTTATTGAGTGTTAAACACTAAGTTAGGTGCCAGCTAGTGAGGACAGCAACACTACCCGTTCTGTTATGGACTGAGCTGACCTTGTGTCTTGCTTCATGGTATTCTATCTTTTGTGTTCAAAAATATCTAAAATGAAGGGCATGGTAGATTTTAAAGCAACTATCTGGTAGTGAATCATGTTTACGAGGCAAATCAAAGCCTATTATTTTAAGTCTCCTTTGGTGGAAAGGGACTGAAATTATAAAGTTTTAGGATAAAGGTATCCTGAAACTAAACATGACTTAAGTCGGTGGTGAGTATCTAACGTTTTCATGCCTAGCACGCTTTTTCCCCTTCTTCAGGCCATGGTAACTCCATTCTTCTAACGGGACTTCTCCTTTGGCCACAGACCTGGCATATGACCCCAGCCTCACCAATCACAGTTGCTTAGGACCCTGTTCAGGGATAAACATCTTAACCAAATCTAGGCCGATCAGGGTCTTTCTCTGGAATGTTAAACACAGAGGCTGAGACAGAAGATCTCTTTTTCCTCTGGTATCCCCAAAAGTTAATGTTGTACACCTGGAGGTGTCTGCTGCCATGCCTCTACTCCCTTCTACCTGCCCTTTGGAGGAAACCAGTCTATAACAGGAGCGGATGAGGCCAATGCACAGAAACAGAATCAAGATAGAGACATCAGATGAATTAGTGGAGTCCCTAAAATTTACTCCAACCATGGACTTCCAAGTCACACAACCCAATAAATGCTCGAGCTGACTTGAGTTGTTTTTGGCACTTGCTACCAAGAGAGATCTGATTAATACAAAATCAAACCATCCATTTATAATTCAGTAACTCTCTTTCAACTTGAGCCAAATTCAAGCATAAGGTAAAGGATAAGCAACGCCCCATGGTCAATTTCCTATGTCATACTCTTGCTATTGGTGAAATAAATTAGCCATTCTTTTTAACATTAAAACAGTAATAAAACAGCCTTCAAGAACATGAAATGACTATATACAACTCAATATATTTTCATTTTGTTTTTTATTATATTAAACATATTAGTAAACTCAATTCTCCCAGATGTTTGTTAATTCAACAATAAATAGTTATAAATTCACAACAAACAAATAAGAAATCAGAGAGAAGAACTGTTAGAAGAAAGGGATACATCTGATATTTTAGATTCTTCAGAGAGGAGGTTGGTTGTTTCTGTTTCCTTTAAGGCATCCATCTTCACAGGATGACTAAAGTGTAGGGTAAGATCACAAAGCAGTACCTCGGAGAGCTCTTTGCAAAACAAAATAATAGAAGATACTATATTGTAGCACATATGTCACAGATGACCACTATTACTTTCAGTAGCTATTTCCTAATTCTTAATTTTCTTTTGATTATTGATCAAACCACAATTTAGGTCGTTTTGACGTCAAAGTCAAATTTATGTACTACAAAATAAGCACGACATAAAAATTTACTAGAAGGGCTCTTCAGCCCAACTTGTCAGCTATCTTACTAAAGTGCAACTTGATTTATGCAAATTCGATTTATACTTTAACTTACTATTTTTATCTGCTCTACATCTACACAGTATATAGCATCTATAGAATAGGTCTATGAGGCATGTTACAAAAACTAGCAGTTCCTATCTCCCAGAGGCAACTACTTTTTTTTTTTAGCTCATTTTGTTGTTCTTGTTTTGTGTGTCTGAGTTTTTTTGTTTTTTTGCAGGGGTTGTTATTACCTCCATATCTCTAAATGACATGCATATTTTATTTTTTCAATTTTAGGTATTATCTATCTGCTTCTGACTACAGAGGATTAAGATATAGCTCTTTTCACTCCCCGTACCCCCTTCCACTCCCCTAATATACTTGAGTACAATTTTTTGCTATCTCAATATTTAATGTTTAAAAATTTTTAATTATATAAATATTCTTCACAGCTGAGTCTTGCAGTATGACATTTCCCTTCTCGCAAGCTACTGCCCAACCACAGTTAGGAATTTTCTTTTTTCATTGCTTCATTATCACAAATATATCCCAAATTTCTCCCAGTTGGGTCAATCTCCTCTCCGTATAGTCAAGTGCCTTAGCTATTCTATTGTTCAAAGTCTCTCCTCTCCTAGAGCCTTCTGATCTGCTCTAGTCTGGACTGATTGCTCTCTAGGACTGCGGTACAGTTCACATCTTGGGAACTCCCTTCACCATTATCCCAGGGACTCCTTTCACTGCTCCCTTGTGCGGAGTATGCTTTTTCCAGAATCTCAGGTATTTCTCTTTTTGATTGCTCCCTTGTTTGGTGGAATACAACCTCAGTAACTTCCTGAGGGGGGAAAAACTATATGTCTGAAAATGTCACTCTCTACACCAATGCTTAATAGATTGATTGACTATAGAAATCTAGGTTGGAAAAGATGTTTCTTCAGATTTCCAAAGGCATTACTGCATTTTCTTCTAGCTTTCAGTGTTGCTACTGAGAATTTTCATATGATTCTAACTATTAATTGTTGTTTCTCTTTTGAAGCTTTAAGGATCTTTTTGTTTTTCCAGTGTTCTGAAATTTCATAGTATTGTACTTTTATATAGGCCTTTTTTCATCCATTGTGTTGGGCTCTTTCACTGTAAAAACTCAGACCCTTCAACTCTGGAAAATTTTTCTCAGATTATTTCTTTAAAGAATTCCTTTCCGTCCATTGTCTATGTTCTTTCTTTGTAACACTCCTATTTATTGGATGTTATATTTCCTTGACTGATCTTGTTATTTTTTCTCTCTAAAACTTTCCCTCTCTGCTTTTTTGCTCTACGCTTTAAAGGATTTTCTTCATTTTATCTCTAAATCCTTCTATAGGGTTTATTTCTATTGTCACGCCTTTAATTTCCAAGAGTTCCCTTTTATTCTCTATTTTTTTTACAGTTTCACATTCCTTTTTCATGGACATAGCATCATCTCTTCTCTGTGGATATTAATGATAGTTTCTTAGAGATTTCATTTCCCTTCATAGTTTCTGTTTCTCCTCATTGACTGAAATCTGTTTGTTTGTCTCTGCTTTTCATTTTAGATGCTATCCTCAAATACCAGTTGCGCCATAGTTGTCTGCTCATATTTAAGACTACGGCACTAAAAAGCAGCTCTATGCCCATGGTAGTCTACGTTGTGGGGTGATCTGGCTGGGTATTTTGTTGGGGGAACCTCTGCTATCAGCATCTTTAGGTCTTTTCTCTTAAGCACGTCAGATTCCTGAAAGAAAAATCTGCTTGAGGGTATAAATCTGGCTGCCAATGTTTTGTAGCCAAGTGGGAAAAGAAAGCTGTAGGTCTTATAATTTAGTAGGTAACCTTTGTCTTAATACCCTTGTTTTTAGTACAGTACTTTTTCCCTCAACTTGTGGCTTAGTGGCTCTAGGCCAGAGATCCCTTGTTTTACCCTGTCAGGGAATAAATCTCAAGTGTTCTATCACAAAGGAGAAACAGTTGCCCAGTTATACAGAGAAGGGAAGAGAACTCAGGGGTCTACAACTTCTTAAACAAACACTAAACCAGTCCTCCTGTTCTTAGCCTCACCTTCACCTCCAATTCTAGAGGATTCTGGTGCCACCATATGTTGAGTCTTTGGGGCTATTTCTTGGGTTTACCCAGCCAGCTCATGGTTCAGATTTTTGGACTTTAGGGTTCAGACTTCTCTGTTTGCTTCCATTTACTTTCTTGTTGTTAACTCTCTTTGAGAGCTCTTTGTCTAGTGAATTTTTATCTCTTTAAAATCACTTTAAATTTAAATCTCAAGTTTACCACTGACTTGAGATAATTGTACGACCTTGGTAAAGTTAGTTAACCTCTTCATGTCTGTTTCTGTATCTGTAAATGCCAATGATAATATTTCCTACCTCACAGGGTTGTCATGACAATTGAGTCCATTGAGTCCATTTATGTAGAGTTCTTGGAAGAGTATCTGGCTTACAGTAAATGTTCTAAGTGTTAAATATAGACATTACTATTTTAGGGAGGATGTGAGTGTTCATTTAATATTCCATGTTTACCAGAAGTCTAGCCTCCCAGTCTAGCTCTACAAGTCCCTTGTATCCTATCTGCCTGCCCTACCCCACAACTTTTCAGGAACACATATATCATATTTATCATTTCTATTTTACTTCATGAAAGAATAATCCCCAAACTAGAACAGTGAGACAATCAAGTTTGGGAGGAATCTAAAGCTTCTCCAATTGTTTTAAATGAGTGCAAGCATCCAGAATCAATTATTCATTTAATAAACATTTTCTAAGAACCTAATATATCAAGGCACTGTGTTAAGTGTTAGGAATACCCTTAAGGAGCTTACAGTTGAGCAGGAATAGGAAAAGTAAGTAAACAAGAAATTACAACACAGTGTAACAAGTGATATGAAAAGGTGGAAGAGAGAACATGTTGGCTTAAAAAAAGTTTTCCAATATAAGTAACTGACTAATAAGTAGCAGTTAACCTGGGGGGGTGCAGGTTGGGGGGCAGCAGTGGGCATTTCAGGAGACGCATGTGTTAAGGCACAAACACAAAAAAGAGCAAATGTGTAGATATGCAAATGGTTCAGTATGGCTGGAACATAGAACTTGCAGGTCAAAAAAGAGCAAGAGACTGGAGAGGTAGGCAGGGGCCTGATGGCAAGAGGTCTTATAGTCCATTCTAGGAGGTTTGTACTTTATCCTGAGGACAATGGTGAGCCGATGAGGGGTTTCAGAAGATTTACATTTTAGAAAGATAATCCTTGCTATAGTGCTGACATTGGTTTTGAGAGATCACGAATTAAGCAAAGCTAATCAGATTTCTTTACATCAGACTCCTCAGTGCCTTTGTTAATATGTACAATGAATCTGTGAGAGAAATATATATCACTTCCCAAACTTATTTGGCCATAAGAACGTGGACTTTGTTTTTACTGCACAGCATCTATTAACATCTCTTGAGACAAGAGGGTTCACAGATCAAAATCTAGAAAATGCTGCCACAGGGAAAATACAAAAAGTATATGGTGCCTAACTAACAGCCACTCCCCTCTCCTTGGTGGCACCATTTGATTTCATGTGAGGTGCTCCTCTCCCCAGGGCCAGCAGTAAGTCCTGACTGGTCCAAACCAGTCTTGGCAACCCCACTCCCCTTGGCAGTGGCTGCTGAAGGCATATGCATGTGATGCAAATCTGGCCAATGAAAGGAAGGGGAAGCGTGCTGGAGGGATCTGGGGAAAGGCTTACATAAAGAGCCACAGGCAGAGACAGTGTCTGTATATGGCCATGTCTGCAGTTAATGATCATGAGAAGGGATAAACAAAATGAACATAACACAGTAGAAAAATAGAACCTGGGACCCAATGAAGCCTTTAAAACTGAATTAACTTTAGGGCTGCCCTCCTTTGGATCTTGTTATTTTCCTTATCCTATAAATCATGTTAAGTTGGTGTTTTGCTGCTTGCAGGAAGGCCCCATAACGGACACAAATGCTATCTTCACATGTCCAAGAGTTGTCATAAAAAGAGTAACTACACATTCAGTGTAGTTTTCATGGTTAGAAATAGGACCAGTGGGTGGAAAGATAGGGGAACAGCTTTCAGCTAGTCCATAAGGAGGAACTCTCTAAAATGGAGTAGGTTAACTGTGGGAAGGGAGTTCCCCAACATAGGAAATGTTTGGTTAGGGGTAGATTATCCCTAGAAATATTCCACCTGGAAATTTTACTTGCCTGGATAAAACAGAATGTATCTGTGAGGTGAGTAGCTAAACATCATGACTTAGCAGGTCTAACCTTACTCTACGAATCTGTATAAAACGAAGAACTCTTAACTCACAGAATCAAACTTATATTTTTAATTTGTAAAGAACCTTAGAAGCTCAGCAAAGATTAATGGATAAAGACACTGAACTTTGAGAATGTGACCCTGTCATGTAATAGTTTGTTGAAGGGAAGGAAGGGAAGTAAATTTAGAGAGGACAGTAAGACAACAAAAGCTTGTTAGCTTCAGGGATGGGCATTCAAGTCAGCTAACTAATGCTCAAATGTAATTTATCTTCAGAGATCTAGTTCATATTACAGTGTAAACATTTCTTAAGAAATACAAAAATCCTAATTAGTGGGCAAAATTCAGTTACACCCCAGCAGCAGCACAAATTGGTTCCACCTGTTTATTGTATAACAGTAATACACAAACATTTTAGTTTATCCATTTCACACTTACCTTTCATCTTCTCTAACTCCAAAGAAATTGTGTTGATGTTTTTAATTATGGCTTCCACGTTCAGCTTATGCTCAGAAACATTAAACATCTGATTTTAAAAGAGAAACAAAAACAACGTACAAATCAGAAGTGTTTATGTATACTTTTAAAATACTTAAGTTTTAATATTTCTAAAAGAAAGATCTGTCATTTCAAAACTGAAATAACTGTGAAATAGTCTTTATAAACGAAGAGAATTCCAGCACAAGAAGGCATCAACTTGTCAATATTCTTCCAACTGAAAACACCTCCAACTGGGCCTCTCAGGACGAGGTTTCTTCTCTAACCAAACCACATCCACAAGATGGGGCCCTTACACGGAAATGCAGGCGCCCCCTTTTCGGGGAGCCTCAGCACTGAGAAACTCCTGGAACGTGCAGCAATCGGGGAAGGTCTTCCCTAATTTTGTTCGTGCAAGTCAGTGTCTAACTCATCCTTGAACGACGGGGTTCATACAAAATTTCTTTAAGTACGCAGTAAAACTCAAGATAAGATTCAATTACAACTAATTGCCTAAGAGGATGGCAACACGGCCGCTTCTACTCTAGCTTTGGGAGTCCGGGCAACACACTTTTTAATTCTGGTTAACGGAAATGTGGAATCAACCCGGCACCGCGTTACACGTACCGTGCACGTTTTTAACCAACCGCGTCGAGACAAATACACAGAGGGGGTCCCCAGAAACTGAGCTCAGCCCTCCAGATCTCTCCCGATGCCTCGAGACAGAGACCGCAGTCAGCCCACGCAGCTCCAGCACTGCGGAGCGCGGGCAGTCACCGTCCGGCCGCTGGTCCCAAACAAGGAAACCAACCTTAGTCAACTTCTTGCCTCGGCCTTCTCCTGAGTGGGGGAATCTATCCTAGTTCTCTCACTCACTTCGGAGCCGCTGTAAAAGAAAGAAAACTTTTTTCCCTGACAATGAATAAAAGAGGGAACAGGGAACGGCAGTCCCCTTTCTGGGTTGGGGATGGCGCACCAGGAGATTCCGTTCGAGGGGAAAGGAAAGATGATGCCAAACAAAGGAGGTGGGGTGGGGATGGTGGAACCGAAAAACTCTAAAATAGAGGAATGAATGTAAAAAAAAACCAAAACAAAAAAACCAAACCCCAAGACAGGGGTAGAAACCAAATGGAGAGAGAAATGCCCCAGAAAGCTGACGCTCCCCACTCTGGGGTCTGGCCACCTGGGGCCCGCGACTGCCCACGGCGGGTGGGTGGGCTCAGGCGGCAGAGCGGGGCGGGAGGGGCCAGAGCCGCATGCGCCTGCCCCAGGGCGCCGGGCGGGCCAGGGCTCAGGGAGGACAGGCCGGACTGCCCTTGCCCAGGAGTGAGGCGAGCAGGCGGCTGCGGGCAAAGGGAATGGTGGGGTCAGAGGCCAAGGTCTCCCAGGCCGAGGGCACGAACCCGGCCACGAGGCGCGCCCGGGCTCGTGACCCCTCCTTCCCGGCCCGACGGCGCCCCGAGGAGCCCCCGTCTTCGAGCCCGGGGTTCAACCCGCCCGCCCAACCGCGCGTGGCCTGAAGATCCGAGCCTGAGGCAGCCTCGAAGTTTCCACAGTCCTCAGGCTCCCAACCCGGATCAGAACATGGTAAGACGCGCTCAGCGTGGCCCCGGCCTGCGGACGACCACCGTCGCTGCCTGGACCCACCCAGCCAACCGCCCTCTCGCCGCCTGACCCAAACGGCCGGGCCCTACCGACGCCATGAGCAGCCCCGGCCCCGGGGAACGCAGGCCAGGCGACCTAGAGGCCCGTCTGCCGGGCGGCTGAAGACGGGGCCTGAGGTGGCCTGGAAAAGTCAAGTCCTCGCCCACCCCAACCGCATTAGGATCATTTAAAACCGAGTAACCTTGGCCTGCCTTCGACCCCACATCCATGACCGTGTCAGGACCCACCTGGCCAACGGTCACCGAACTTCTGACCATGAAGTGGGGTGAGCAGCAGGGAAAGCAAGACTGCGCTTCCTGATTGGCCAGCTTGTCCGCCTAGTGTATCCTGGGAGTTGTAGTCCTAGGCAAGGGCCCAGCGGAGAAAGTTCTAGATGCCAGGCTGAAAGTGACAGGTCCAGCGTCGTGGGCTGAGAGGGAGGGCAGGGAAGGTGATGACACTCCCTGCCTATTATGTGTTGGGTGCTGTGCTACGAGCTTTACCGCCCTTATCTGCATTAATTTTCGCGGTGTAGGCATGTGGATAGGCCAGACTCTGGACTAAAACTGCTTGGATTTGGATCCTGTTCTGCACTTGTTTAGCTATAGCGATGCTGGGAAGCGGTTGGATCTTTCAGCGTCCAAATGTCCTCATCTGTCATATGGGTCTAGTGTTCTTTTGAGGGTTAAGTGAGATAATGCATCAAAGGGCCTTGGCAGATGATGTGCCCAATTAATGTTGGCTATCATTCCTATAAATTTTTACAGTAAAAAACGAGTAAAAATGAGTGGAGAGATGTACGCTGGTTTCTTGCCAAGTGGAGAAGCTGGGATTCAAGCCATCTTTGCTGGATTCCAAGAGGAATCCCCGCCACTGCAACCTCTGGGGCTGACGCAGACACTGTTCTTGGTGCCCCGGGGAATTGCCTTCCGCTGAGTGAGGAGCACAGACCTCCAGCATCAGGTTCTACGCCACTCTTTGTCTTCTCTAAGCCTCCCCTGCAACACACACCAGCCTCCTGAGCCCGTCCTTCCCTGTAAAGCACATGGCCTGTTTATTTTAGATCCAACAACCTTCAGTTTAACGCTGGAATTTGTTGTCTGATGCAGAGTTAGATAGATGAAGAGGGGCACAGGAGAACTGAGCTTCAGTCCTAAGGATAGCTAGCTGTGTAATCATGGAAAAGGTGCCTTCGTGTGCCTGAACTGCAGTTTTCCTCATCAGTTTCCTCATGGGGGATGGGCTAGATCAGTGTCTCCTAAGTGTCACTCATTATTGGGCCACTTTGATGACTGGTAGTCCTAACTGTGTACCACCTATATTATTATTACCTTAATATTTTAAATTTACTTTCCTTTAAAATTTCAATCTTCTTAAAATCCTTATATCACCAATGTAAATGGAATAAAATATAAACAGAAGGTAATAGAAAAAATAAAGACAATGAAAAGAGTATTTTTTCTTTTTTGGCCCTGAGCTAATATCTGTTGCCAATCGTTTTTTCTTTTTCCTTCTTCTCCCCAAAGCCCCCCAGTACATAGTTGTATATTCCAGTTGTGGGTCCTTCTGGGTCTGCTGTGTGGGACCCTGTCTCAGCGTGGCCTGATGCAGTGGTGCTAGGCTGTGCCCAGCATCCAGACCGGTGAAACCTGGGCCACCGAAGCGGAGTGTGCAAACGTAACCTCTCGGCCCCAGAGCCGGCCCCTAAAACAGTATTTTTAATCATCTAGATATTCTTGCCTCTTAATGGCAATGGTCTTGCAGCCCGAATTTCTTTGTTAAAATGGGTTCTTATTAAGTGTTAAACAAGTGCTAAACCGAGACTTTCTTCTTGATATAATCAACAGAATTGAAAGAGTTGGAAGGGGACTAGCTGGACTGCACGTTGGTTAACGCCTGTGTGCCGTGTAGAAACATCTCTCATAGTCCTAGTGGGATGTGTCCCACGCTTTGCCAAGCCTAGGATTGGATGCTGTCCAAAACACCAGTGCTTTCTAAGACTCCTTCATTCTCCGTGTTCTATGGATGCTTTTCAAAACTCACCTCAAGCTTGAAGGGAGTCTTCCTGAATTAACCCTACCCTGCTCTGCAGTTTCGTACCGTCTCTCTGCCAATGCTTTCCTCACTCAACATTTTAACAGTGGACACTCGCTAGTGTCACAGTCTTGTGTTTTCTTATTCTGATATGTGTGCTGAGCATTTTTCATCTAATTCTCTGAGTGCTGAGTAAGGGGGGAAAAAGAGGCACAAAAGGTCAAGGGACACACATTCTTTCAGCACTCCCTGTATATCATGCATTCTGTTAGAAGCTTTCATCTGCTGACAACACTCTGAGGTAGCTGTTACCACCCCAGTTACATGGATAATGAAGCTTGAGCTCAGAGAGCTTAGTGCCTGCTCAGGGGCACAAGAAGCAGATTCAGATCCTATCTGTGCGGACTCCAGAGCCTTCTGTTTTTCCTCTGAGCCAAGTTGTCTCCCAGACCAGGGTACCATCTCTTGAAACAGCAAACAAGTACATCATGGCTCCATAGTGTTTTGGGCTTCACAGATCATTGTACTTAAACACACCTGTAGTGACACATACAAGCATACAAATATGAAGTGATCAACACAGGAAAATAAACAATGTTTACTTTCTGAATTAAGGACATTAACAAAACAAAAATAACTGCCATCACTGTTTTATAAAAGCAGGAATAATTTAACATCAAAAGGAAGGAAGAAAGGAAAAAAAGGAAGGTCATAAGAATTTCAGAATAAGACTCTCAACAAAAAATCTTACTGAATGTGTCTTTTTTCTCCCTTTATGTTGATGCAGACTAGTGAAAACTTCACCTCAGACCTGCATGACTCCATATGTGTGATCGGAAACTCCCCACAGATAACAGTAGGAGAAAATACAATGTCTAAGAGAAGTAGGGTGAAGAATGTAGGTGGGTTGAGATGTAGCATTAAGATTGAGAATCCTGAAAATGAGGTGATGATGGGGCTGGGCTGGGAAGAATGTGGTGTCTCTGGGTCCCCAGTGTCCCAAACACTCTGAACTCATTCACAAGGTCCAGCAGGTGTTTGCAGGGCCTACCTGAGCTCAGATACTTGCAGATTAGGATTCTGCTCCCAGGACTTTCGATAGAATCTAAACCTTCCACCCCTCCACAGTGATTACTTCTTATGAGTAGATTCAAACTACTGCAATTTGGAAAAGATCATTGTTGAGCCTTTCTTTCCTATTTTTTTTTTAAAAGAAGAATCAACTTTGTGTTTCTTTTAAATATGTTGTAAGAGGGAACAAAAGATCTGAACTCAGAAAAAGATATATTGTAATACTGTATTTTCCTCCATGAAAATGTCTTGGAGCAATGATGACTACTTATCGTAGTGTACTTCCTCCTTAAATAACTATAGATTCTGTCTTTTCTTTTTCCTAACAAAATAAAACTTTAAAAACACAGTCTGCTACTTAAGGCTTGAGACTGTTATAGATGAAGCCTTAAAAAGATCTATCTTCCTTAATAAGTTTGCAAATACAACACTTTACGGGAATGCAACACAGGGTGCAGTTGTTGATTCTAATGTTAATCAAATAAAGGAGATTAAAAAGCTGGTAAATTCTCCCATAAAGAGAAAAGCTGTTACAGAACAACAAGGTGATTAAGCGTTTTATGGAGCCGGATGTGAGTGCCTCAGTTAGTTTTATTACAAATTCTTGATGTAAAGTCTTCCTTGCCAGGAAAACAAATTGAGTAGATTATCTCACTTCTTCCACTCGCTCTCAGAGCTCCCATTCCTGTCCTCTCCCTGCTCATTGTCAATTAAAAGTGCTGGTCTCTGTGTCTAGGGACTGGCTCCCTGCTGGATCAACAACCCCTTTCTGAATATTGCTGTGTACAACCCCTGTATACACAAATTTCGGAGGTTATGGGCACATGCTTGGATCATTACCTGAGGAGCATGACTGCTGTCCGAAAGATCAAGGAAGTCCCTGTGCGTCAGAACAACCAATGCTTTTCCCATAGCCAGTCACATAAAGGAAGCGAAGGTGCATAACTTTGGCCACCGTGGCCTGAAGTGAAAGTTGGATTCCCTGTCCACTGCCTTCTTCAAGTAGCTGATGTTACATTGGATAGAACCATTTTCTTTTTCTCTGGAAAAAACACTTCTGAACTACAGCAAGAAGTTATTAACGAAAATCCACATTGCTTGCTAACTAAAATGTTTTCACTTCTAATTAAAACATTACATAAAGAAAGGAAATCCTGCCACTTGTGACAACATGGATGGAACTTGAGGGCATTATGCTAAGTGAAATAAGTCAGAGAAGGACAAATACTATGTGATCTCACTTATGTGGAATCTAAAAGCACTGAACTCATAGAAACAGAGAGCAGAATGGTGGTTGTGAGAGGCTAAAGGGTGGGGAGATGGGGAGAGGTTGGTTTGGGGGTACCAACTTTCAATTATAAGATGAATAAGTTCCAGGGATCTAATGTACAGCATGGTGGCTATAGTTAACAATACTGTATTGTGTACTACAGTAAAGTTGCTGTGAGAGTAGAGCTTAATATTCTCACCTTAACAACAACAACAACAACAAAATGGTGTTATGTGAAGTGAAGGATGTGTTAACCAACCTTAATGAGGTAAACATTTCACAATGTATGCATGTATCAAGTCATCATATAACACACCTTAAACTTACACAATGTTATATGTCAATTATATCTCTATAGAGCTGGAGAAATAAGTAAATTACAGTTCTGTACGAAATTTCCCTCTGAAATAGGAAGCAACCCAAAGAGAACTGCCAGATAAAATATAGGACACCCAATTAAATTTAATTTCAAGTAAACAACAGACAATTTTTTTTAGTATAAGTATGTCCTGAATATTGTATGGCACATACGTATATTAAAAATTTATTCATTTATCTAAGATTCAAGTTTAATTGGTAATCCTGTATTTTTATTTGCTAAATCTGGCAACTCTATGCCCTAAACACTTCAACCATAAAAAAGAAAATCAAACAGTCTGAAGGCTTGTAGATTCAGTAGGTATGGAAGCCAAGAGAATATTGAGGTTTTCCAACTTGATGTCCAAAATAATAAAATACACACACTTACTGTGCCAGAATTTGGCTCTCTTCTTCCTTCAACATTCCTGTAATTCAGGAACTAAGCGAGGTCTTTGAGAAAGCAGATGGATGAAAGCTGGCAATATTCAACATGGTGCTGTTTTTGACAGTTGCTTGCTGTGTCTGTTTGTCTGAAAACTCTTTGCCCTTGGCT